TATATATATATATTTATATATATACACACACACACACACACACACGTTCGCAGCTATTGCTATACTTTTTTAAAATTTTATTACTTTAAAATTTACTATCCAGAACTCAGGTTGTGGCTAATGTGAAAGAAATGAACATTTTTCTGTTGGTCAGCGAAATTCAACCCGAAGAACACATTTACTTAATAGAATAAACGCATTACTATAATTAATGTCTCTCTCAACCACATTGCTTTCTTCTTACTTGAGCCAAATCAGAATCCATTGGTCCTAAAGCATTACTTATTTCTTTTGCTTTCCTTCTCTCCTTTTTAAATGACAACATATCTTGCCAAACACCAGCTTGATCCTTTTTGGAACTCAAGTGCCTTTTGTTGTCTTTTGATAATTCTTTTATAGATTCTATAGTGGATCTTCGCCACGTTTCAGAGACAGTATTTTCCATTTAAGGATCTTGTGGAATTAAGAGTCTTTCAAAGTTGTTGGTGAGGCTTTTTTTTTTTTTTTGTTTCTTTTACGAATGATGCTGAAAAATTCTTGGCCCATTTTATCTTCCCAAATCTGAGAAAATAACTATAAAAACTTCTGTTTATTTACTTTTTGGTCGAGCAAGTATTTCTTTCCACCATTTCTTTGCTTGCATACGAGAAACGCTCGCCTGTTAATTCGCATACATCTTTGTCTAATTTTTGACCAGGAATCAACAGCTTCTTTTTTTAAACCATCAACAGATTGTCAGCGGAAACAGTCAATCAGTTTTATTGACTATTGCAGAAAGCACAAGAAAAGGGGAGACAAACCTTATGTCATTGGTGGGAAAATGCACCCAGATGATTTCATTCAATCACGTTTTGTACAAAATAGTACTTTACTTGAATTAGTCGCTCTTAAATATCGCCTTTAGCAGCTGCATTTACAGTATTAAAATAATTAATTATAAATATTAATTTTCACTAAGATTTAGTATTACTAATTAATGTATCATCAACGGTATGTGAAATTGTCTGGCTGAGTGCGGACGGCTTAAAGTAAACGACTCTGAAATTAGTAGTTAATAGACTAGAATTAATCTTCCGTATATATGTTTTTCAATTTATGCGGTATTAAGATCTTAAAAACCATTGATCTAGAAATCCCTTTATTCTTTAATATAGAACTTTAACAGTATTGCGCTAGTAAATATTTCGCTATGGTGTGCCATTTGTTACTGTTTTAAGGGAACAGATGCAAAAATGTGAAGAAAAACGTATCTTTGTAATAGTAAGTGTAGATCGTAACTGAAAACAAGAAATGTTTAAATATATGACGTAAGAACAAATATATCTTTGCTCTTTTAATCTACAAGTGTATTTAATGCAAGTCTCAACAAACCATCCAACTGTTGCTCCACATGATTGCTCAGGAATGATGAACAATTCGAGAAACTAAACTGCTTCCAAAAATTCCCTTCTTTCTTTTCTTTCACTTTAAACCTTTTGATTGATTATGGAGACATTTTATGCAAATCTTGCGTTATCGCTTAATCTCGCATTCCGGCAAAGATTTTCCTGTTTCTTTGCCTGGACGTTAAAAGGCCAGGGATGAATAGTAGCCACTCCAGAGTCCATCTGTTAAGCCTTAGTTCATGTTTGAATTTACCGTTGCTGGTTTTCCTGACCACGACTCAGAAACATTGCCTTATATATAGGATTGAACCTTAATCAAGTATTAATGCTATTTTAACTTAAGTGGCAAAGCAGGAAGCATACCCCCCCCACCTCGGATTAAAGGTTCCATCCAGAATGTTTAGTTGAATAGATGCTTCGTGAAAAAACTTTGAAAAAAATGAAACATGAGAGAACTTCTCCTTTTCTAACAAAATCCGCGTGAATTTTTCCTTCCATAGACTAGTCTTCGTTTTTTTAGTATTTCATTCTTGTGCTATACTCATCCTTCTTTTTCTTTTCTTTTTTGTTTTTTCAAGTCCTTCAGGAATAACTTTGCTTGCTAGTAAAACCAATTCTTGGATGGAACAGTCATCCAAGCAGGGTACATATCATCATCTAACAGACAATTTAAAATCATAAATGTGGAATTATGCAAACTATATTCTTATCATATCTATCTATCTATCTATATATATATATATATATATATATATGTATGTATGTGTGTGTGTGTGTGTGTGTGCGCGCAGATATGTGGAAAAATAGGAAAGAATGCGTTAGGTAAATAATCCGGAGTTCTTTCGTATTTTTTTTATTTTTAAAAACAGTGCTCCATACAGAAGTAGAGCTTAAATTATAATTATTTTTTTTTTTTATTTTTTTTCAAAATCATATTTTTTTTTAAATAATTTTTATATATATATATATATATATATATATATATATATATATATATATAATTTTATCATATATACAAAAAAGTTTAATCACTACAAAAAACAAATTAGTTTCGATGCATTTCAAATTATACCTTGACTGGTAAGAACCCAAAAATCTGTTTTGGTTCTCACCAGTCGAGGTGCACTTGATATGTACCGAAACGAAGTTGCATCTTTGTAGTGAGTAAATTGCTTTTGTCTATATGATAAAATTATAATAATTAATTATCGCTGTACTATCGGTATCGAGCATTCTTTTGAATTAATGCTGTGAACGTTAGAATTTACATATTACTTTCGATCTCATTGCATCGGATATATATATATATATATATATATATATATATATATATATATATATATATATATATGTGTGCGTTCTGCTATATTTATGGGCTTTCTGTTTTTTTTCTTATCGTATCCTCAATTATGCCACTCCACCCTTTCTTGTCTTTTTTGTTATTCGAAGTAACTTTTACTCATTAAATACTCCTTTTTTACTCTTGCATCCATCCTCACTCGTTGAATAGCTTCCTCGCTATTTTCCCCTGCTTCTTTTCAGTATGTCATGATGGCCTCTTTACTCATTAGGCAACACTCAGTAACATTAACTATGAACACGGCCACAATATGCTGATCGTGTTCGGAAAATAATACATTCCTATAACTTCAAAGAGATATATAAGAAGTCACATATTTAGTTATAATAAAAAAAAAAACGACCTTGATAATGGCTAAAAGAGTAGTCGGCAGTTTTTTTTACAGACTTTTACAGACACTAGCACGAATACAAGAAAAAATAAATAAAAAGCTTAATCACAGTGCCTTGTCAGTTATATTTAACGAAATATGTATGTGTGTATATATATATATAGCATAATGAGAAGCCACGTATACTTTCTTAATATGTATATATAGAAAATTTTCAAATTGAAAATTATAATGTTTTATTTTATGAAAGTATTTATTTATTTATATATATATTTGATATTTCAAATTGTCCTCAATTTTTCATCAGAAATAACTGTTTGTTACAAATAAATTAAAATTACTGTTTGTTAGCAAGTGGCGTCCTTCGCGAGACGCGGACGTCACGTGATATGGAACGTCACTGTTCGGATATTCCTAACATCTAACTGTCATAAAAAAAAAAAAAAATTTTACTATATCTAAAAAAAAATTGCTTAACTATTGAAATATTTATAAAGATTTAAAACACCTAAGTCTCTATTCAACCCTAGTTTATGTGTATTTAATTTTAAAATCCAATATGTTTCTTTTTTTTTCGTGTGTGTGAATGTGGAAGTAAAATCGGAATCTATTAATAAACATTTGCAGTTTTCTAATGTGTCCTGATTGATTGTAGTGTTTAGCTATGGGGGAATAAGGGTTGTTTTGACGTATTGTTTATGGTTATTAAAACGAAATCTAAAATTGTTTCCAGACTCACCAATATATCCACTATTAGGACATAAGTTGCAGAATAAATAATAGATTACGTTATGGGTATCGCAGGTGAGGTTAGGTGGCTGTATTCTGATATTGGTGTTGGGTACGGAAAATGTGTTAGCTATTATTAAATGTTTGCAAACTAAGCAACGAGGTTTGTTACATTTGTAATTTCCTGTTTGGTTTCTATTGTTTAGATATTTGGTAGAGGTGAGGATAGCTGATAAGTTAGGTGATTGTTTAATTGCATTTATGGGTGGTTTATCGAAAATGTCTTTGATCTTGTTGTCTAATTGGAGGTTCTTGTAATCATTTTTTAATTTGTGAATAAGTGTGTGGGAATATTGATTGTGGTTAAAAACCATGGGAATCCGATTGTTGTTTTTATTTTTCTTGTATGTGAGAAGTGTGTTACGATTTATCAGGATAGTTTTATTTAGTGCTTCTTTTATTATTTTTATTGGGTATTTGCATTTTAGGAATTGTTTTGTTAAGTTATTAATGTTGTATAGAAATAAGTTAAGTTATAATGTTGTATTTCTATACAACATTAATTACATCTTTTTCTGAATTTCTTACAAAATGTAGTTAAGAAAAAAAAATAACCCAAATATGTGACAGCAAAAGAATGAAGGGAACCGTAAAGGAAAAGTGTAGGAGTAAAAGTACTTTTTTTCCTTTTTTTTTTTTTTTTCTTTTCTTTTTCTTCAAAAGGAAGAAGACATATGTAATGGAAGAGTCTAATAATGAACTTCCTTTTCCTTCCTTTTTTCTTTTCCTTCCTTTCTTCCTTTTCTTCTTTTTCTTACTTTTCTTCTTTTCTTTCCTTTTTTCTTTTTCTTTCTTTTCTTCTTTTCTTTTCTTTTCTTTCTTTTTTTTTTAAATCTTTTTGATCCAAAGGATGAAGACATACGTAAATGAAGATTGTAATAATAAAAAAAAATTCTTATTTTGCTATTTTTTCTTTTTCTTCCTTTTTGCTTTTTCTTCCTATTTCTTCCTTTTCCTTTTTCTTCCTTTTTTCTTTTTGTTCCTTTTTTCTTTTTCCTACAAGGATGAAGAGATGCATAAACGGAAGATTGTATTAATAAATGTACATTTGTTCTTTTTTTTCTTTTTTCTTTCTTTTTCCTTTTTCTCTTTTTCGTTCAAAGGATGAAGACATGCGTAAAGGAGGAGTGTAGTAATGAAAGTCTTTTTTCTTCCTTTTTTCCTTTTCATCCCTTTTTTTCTTTTTCTTTCTTTTCTTTTCCACCAAAATGAAATCAAGAGTGTAATAGTGAAACTCCTTTTACTTTTTTCTTCCCACCTTTTTCATTTTTCTTCCCTTTACACGTTTCTTCTATTTTTTTTTTCTACCTATTTTTTAATTTTTCTACTTTTTGGTCTTTTTTTTCTTTTTCAAACTTAAAAGCAGAAGAAATACAGTTGCAACTAGGTCGTTAATAATAACGCTATGTAGACGATGGTAACGAAATTGCGGTAGTAAGATCAAGGCTAAAAATAAATCTCATTTTCTCTCATAGCCAAGGCGATAGCTATGTATTGCTATATGAAGTTTGGTATACAGGAATGAAGAGATATCTTCGGAGCAAGCAGTAACGTTTTTGCGGTACCTCAAGAATTGACCATCTCAAACCAGACTGATTTTTCACAAAATGATCCTGCTGGCTATTGGCTCTAATTTAATTTCGCATTCTTTGTTACAATTCTTAGGCTTCGATCCCCCACCCGCCAAAAAAAATAAATACTGTTATATAGATCTAAGAAACCAAAAAAGAAAATATATGCGAATCTTATTTTTTTGGTGACAGTTGTCTGGGAAATCTTTCATTTTATAATTAATTACTTTTTAATTCTTTTGAAGAAGAACTTCTCGTACTAATTATTCAGTTACTAATTATTCAAGAACACTTGGGAAGTTAACTAATTGTTCTAGAAACATTAGTTTTCATTTTGCAGGGTTTTTTTTTATTCCCTTATTCTTTTTTTGATTTTTAAGGGGAGAGAAAAGAAAATTGTATTAACGAGATTAACTACAACATTTTTGGAACAAATTGTGGCGACAAATACGCTGATAATCCACACCGAATTCTTCTCTTGTTACGGTCGAATTAGTTTTTAAATTGCTCGAAATTAACAAGGATGAAAAGGTAATCAATTATAAATTAGACTGTAATATACTTTATGTTATATAACAAGTATTTTTTCCGGCAGTTTTTTTCATTGTTTGAGAGAACTAATCATAATTACATGATTTATAGCGGTTATAATTGCCTTAGGAAACTACCACCAATTTTTATTCGGTTACTTGAAGAGATAACCACAGAACTTTTTCTATAGAGTGTTTCCAGTGTTAAATTCTTTCAAGATTTCGGCTTTGTGTACAGGAAACACAAATGAAACTTGCGAACATCTTGACTTACACACGAATCTGCAGAATCGATTAGATTCAGATGCAGAAAGCAGCAACCAATTTTGCATAAGTTATTTTTCATTTGTCACTCATATATTCTGAGATGAAAAAAATGTCTCTGAGTTGGACACCATTAAGAAAGGTGGAGATTCTGTTAGCTACCAAGTAGCATAGCATTTCAAAATAATTCCGGTTAGCGAAATATTAACGAGTTTGCAGCGAAAAGGAAATCCGGTGATTAAATATATACACTTGATGAATTCTCTAACAAATGTACTTAGAAAAAAAAAAGAACAGTAAAAGAGTTTATTCTTGATAAGAATCCCAAATTGATTAAAGAAAATGCACGTGTGTAGAATGTGTTATCATTAAAGAAGCTTACTTTGTCCATTGAAACCAACTACGAAAGACAAGGGATTCTGTCAGCCTTTACTCTTTTGGAATGCTTGAGGCTCACAATGGCGAGTGAAATGGTTACTCTCATAAAAAAAAAATAATATTTAAATCCTCCAGATAGGGTGAGAGGGAAAGAGAAAAGGATGACTTCAGTAATAAGTCAAACTTTCACCAATCTTTGTCTCTAGTGCGTTGAATGAGAAGGTTGACTAAGCAGAATAAAGGGAGTCTTTCTTCTCAAAGTCGAAACCAAGATTGGTGAACGAGTGAGAAGAAGGTTGGCTATTCTAATAGCAGCCAAGCTCTTTTCGTTCACCAAAATTGGGATCTAAATTATCGAAAATAAAATTATCAAAAGTCTAGCAGCATGGCCCGGCGTTGCCCGTGCTTGATTCAAAAATCGTACATCTCATACAGCAATCGCTATCACTTGACTTAAAATATTTTTGCCCTTCCTTGCCTTTAAAGGAGTGCCCTTTGCCGTGCTGATGTTGCTACATGCCTTACTTCTTGCCTTTCTCACACTGCGAATTTTTTTTCTAAGCTCTATACAAAACATTAAATCTGTTACGAAAAAAGAACTAAACAAAATGAACACAAAACGATCAGCTTTAAAAAAAAGGACTCGTAACTGGAAAAAGAATGTAAACAACAAATACTTTTTCACATCCAACCCAGTTCTGCGGAATCAGAATCAATGCTGAGTTTAAGCAAGCGAATGAGCCAATTAGAGTAAAGTGCCATGCAGATTTAAATTTTTCCCACTTGTGGCGAATGCATCTATAGATTTTTTTCTTTTGCATGCTATCATGCTAGGTAACATTCATGTCTGTCAGCTGTTGGCTCTCACGCTGACCCATAGAATCTTCCTGCCTATTCGTGGCAGCCAGCTATAGGCTCTCACTCTGGCCAGTAGAAAATGTCCGCAAACTACATGATAACTGCTGTAGAAGCATGAAAAAATCGATTATTTCCACTATCGATGGGAGTTGGGAAATGCAAAGTCGGTCTTGGCCTTCCCGCTAACTTGGAGCATGTGCATGTAAATTTTGGTGCGGCTGTGCATTCGATACACACACACACACACATCCTGCCTTTTATAGATAGAGATTAATTTACTGTCTTGCTTAGGGTGAAATCGATTAAAAAAGAATCAACGCCCTCGTCAAGTTTTCATTTATCCCCGTTAATTTCTCCCACACGCTTATTCTATGCCTGCCGTTTATTAGATTTGGATTTTTTTTCAAATCTCACTTTTTATTCAAAACTCGAGTTTAAGTCGAGAAATTTGATAACTATTAAAAACGTTAGTAGTAGCTGTGAGATCCTGAATTTTAGAATTAATAGAGGAGATAGTATAGTTCCCACTGCATCATAAATTTCGTTCGTTCTTATTAGAATAAGACATATTTATTTTAGAATGAGATGAAAAAAAAATAAGTCGTCTCTTCGTTAATTAAGCTGCTCTAACGGCTTTAGTTATTACCTTCACCCATTAAAAAAAAATACCATAAAAAATTATTTTTCAGAAAAAAAAAATGATGGAAGTGAGGTAAAGACAAATTCAATTTACAATTCTCATTACATTCTCTTCAGTATTAATTTCTTTTGAAGTGAACGGAGTGAAGTCTGGCCCAAAGCCAACTAACGTCCATGTGCGATCTAACTTACACTGTCCAGAAGAAACATTAGACTCCCAGACATGACCTCTGCAGCCACCAATATAATCATCATACTTTGGAAGATCCCTTGAGTTGTAAAATAGATTACTTTCGTCTGTTGTCGTGAGCTGTGCCACTTTGTAACGGAAGATGTTGAGAACGCTCAAAGCGAACGAATTCCACTTTTTTTTAATCAATTCGCCCCAAGCAAGGCAATAAAGCAAGGGGGTTACTGAGTGTGATAGAATATAAGAAAAAGAAAACAGCATTAAGAAGCGAAAACAATAAAAGAACAAGAATAAAGAAGACGGAAGATAACGATTGACATTGAGTTTAGATTTTTGAAGGTCAAATACGAATGGAAAGTAAGTAGCCGGAAGAGAGTCCTATAAGTGAGAAATTTCGATAGAAGAAACTGTTAGCATAAAAGTTACGGTTACATCTAGCCATTTCAACTGTAAAAGGATGATTCCAATTTAGTACTGCGATTAAATTCATAAAGTTTAGATAGCAAAGACGAAAATTCATCAAAACAATTACCATGAAAATAATTACCGAAAAGACACACAAAATGGAAAAGTAACTGAAGCCGAATTGTCAGATTAGGATCAATAAAATTGCAGATTCTTCTTTGTGTTTTTATCAATACCTCTAAATGCATAACAGAAGCACTAGACCAGATGCAAAAGAAATATTTAAAGAATTATAAAATTATAAAGGTGTAAGATAGATCCTGACGAGAAAAACAGTCTGGCACAGCACAGGGAACCAACTTTCCTAGCAACAGACCTATCAGTTGATGCAGTATACTCTTTCCACTTCATGTCAGCTAAAACGTTACCCGAGAAGGCTCAGTGAGTTGCTCACTTGAAGGTTAGCATCAGCCATGCCGATGAAAGGCGAAATATGTTCTCTCAGACGGTTAAAAGAGGGAAGTTTCATTTTGAAGGAAATTAACAAGCTATTTGTTTCGCCAATTAACAAAATACTGAAAAGAAAAAAGAGGGATTTTACATATATCTTTATATTAAGAACAACGTATCTCACAAAGAAGATGAAGAGAATCTCATTTACGTGTGTACAAAGAGTGAAAGAAAGGAAAGAAAACATTGATACATTTCGCCGTACAGTGTATGAGTGTGTTTGTCGTCTACGTAGTTTGCTTGAAATAAAGTAGTCGGTTTGCCTTGTGAAAAAATGTCTCCTGACATATTGTGCGCATATTGAAGTCGTAATGTTTCTTTCTTTTTAAAATGAGCTTAACAATATGAATACCACTTGGGAATACCGGGTGCTGTAAGGTTATATGTGTGGATGGGGTAATGGATAACCGTTCGGAATTGAAACTTTGAACTCAGAGTTCAAGTCCCAGTCGGGTTCACTTACTTGTAAATATCGTTGTGAAATGTATGAATCTACATTTTATCCACCCCCGCCTTATCTATGAACAAATTAGTAGGACTTAATCAGAGGGAAATAAAAAAAATGTTCTTACAATCTAAATATATTTTTTGTCATTAAATAACCTTGAAAAGCCATAAAAAATAAGTCAATCAATTAAATGAGCAAAATTACTTCTTACATGCGAAAATAGAGTTAATTGCGCAGATTAAATAATACTAAATAGCTTTCTGCGAAAATGGAATAGGGAATTATGATTTTATAGATTTCCATTTTTCTATAACAATGTGCTTTGATGGTCCAGCACAATTTAAGCTTCAAGGCTGGCACAATAATTAAATAATAAAAATTCTGAGAATATGCACATCACTAGTACAAGGATTCTCAACTTGAGCGGTAATGTCCCCTTAGGGACGGTATAAACTATCAATCTTGTAGATGGTGTTCGAGAGAGTGGATTCTATATTTTTAACAGGATAATGGTGATTTAATTCTTTGATATATTATTCGCACGGCTTTATATACGAATGTTTCCCATTTTGCCTATATAAGAAAAATATATGGAAAAGATAGTGAAGTAGTTTCTTGCTGCCTACTCAGCTGTTCTAAAAGATGTACTTCTTCTAGAATAGCTGCCAGACAAGGTGAGAGAGTCTAGCCTGTATAAATGCGACAGGAAATAAGATGCGTCCCTTGAAATGTCAATAAAAAATAAACTTAGTTGGTAAAAGATTTATTGTTTATAGATATACGATCAAAAGAAATGTCGGAGAAAGCCCGAAGAAAGTGTCTTTTTCAAAACCTGACTATTTTCTTCGGCGTTAATTTTCTTGTCACATTTAGGGATCTTAGCGAAACAGTTAACGGACTTTGTAAATCACACATACAATAATAGTAACGACTTCGAACGGTACTCGGTCAAACGCCGCTAATTCCCATATTTCTATTTTCCCTTTACCCGTCACTTGATCTAATTATTTCAAGATGAGGTCGACTGAGCTTGCCCTCTGGCGATCCGTGTTCAAACCCAAGTGTCAGCAGCTACACTATTCCTATATGACAGTATGACAATAAATTTCACCCCGTAACAAGGCTTCCGATCAGGAGATTGGAGATTTTGAGGAGTGTGGAACCACTTCTTAATTACTGTTGTCCCAGGGCCACCCTGACCTTGAGTGCTAGCACCTGTTAGGGTCCCAGCTATGGGTAAATATTGAACTCACAATCAAAAGGAAAACACTATGAAAGTATAAAAAAATTATATTAAAATTGCTGGCAATGCATTTTAATATAATAACATACCAACAATACATCGTTATATAATAAATTACCAACAATACCTATTTATAGTAAAATTACCAACGATACAATGCAAATGACCAATTTTTAAGTCAAAAGCTTTTCAGTCCTGGCTATAGTTTGTAATTCCCGTTTGTAGGAGAGACTCTGTAAATCACAAATACAACAATAGTAACCTCTTCGAGCGATATTTGGTGAGACGCCGCTAATTCCCATATTTCTATTTATCCTTTACCCGTTACTTGATCTAATTATTTCAAGATGAGGTCGACTCAGCTTGCTCTCTGGCGATCTGTGTTCAAACTCAAGTGTCAGCAACGGCACTTTATTCCTATATGACAAAAATATTTTCCCCCCTTCGTACTTCTCTACTCTCCCTTTTCTATTTCCTTTACTCTTTCCTTTTCCCTCTTTTTTAATTCCGTTTCTTGTTTTCTTTTTTCCTCGTTCATTCTGTTTTCTTGAAGTTTGTTTAAAACAAATGCATTCCTTTTCATTCAAATTCCTTCGATCTTTTCCTTTCTAAAACTCTTCGCTTTTTTCAATATTCTTTCTTGTTCTCTTTTACTTTAAATTAATTTCAAAATGTGTTTCAAATTTTTTGACCTACTCTCTTTCAGTCTATTTCATGTTAATCTCTCTCCGTTTCGCTCTTTTTGCGCTAATCCCTCTCCGTCTCGCTCTTTTTTTGCGCAAATCTCTCTCCGTCTCGCTCTTTTTGCGCGATCTCTCTCCGTCTCGCTCTTTTTGCGCGAATCTCTCTCCGTCTCGCTCTTTTTTGCGCTAATAGCTCTCCGTCTCGCTCTTTTTTGCGCTAATCTCTCTCCGTCTCGCTCTTTTTGCGCTAATCTCTCTCCGTCTCGCTCTTTTTGCGCTAATCTCACTCCGTCTCGCTCTTTTTTGCGCTAATCTCTCTCCGTCTCGCTCTTTTGCGCGAATCTCTCTCCGTCTCGCTCTTTTTTTGCGCGAATCTCTCTCCGTCTCGCTCTTTTTTTGCGCTAATCTCTCTCTGTCTCGCTCTTTTTGCGTTAATCTCTCTCCGTCTCACTCTTTTTTGCGCTAATCTCTCTCCGTCTCGCTCTTTTTTGCGCTAATCTCTCTCCGTCTCGCTCTTTTTTGCGCTAATCTCTCTCAGTCTCGCTCTTTTTGCGCTAATCCCTCTCCGTCTCGATCTTTTTGCGCTAATCTTTCTCCGTCTCGCTCTCTTGCGCTAATCTCGCTTCGTCTCTCGCTCGTGCTAATCTCTCTTACTTACGCTAATCATCTTTCTTGCTCCTGTGCTAATATCTTTCCACCTTTCACTCTCTCTTGTGCTAATATCTCACCATCTTTCTCTCTCTCTCTCTCTCTCTCTCTGGTTCTGATATCTCTCTCTCTCTCTCTTTCTCTCGCACTAATTTCTTTCAATCTCTCTCTCTCTCTCTCTCTCTTGCGCAAATCTCTCTCTCTCTCTCTCAGGCTAATCTCTCTCTTTCTTTTGCGCTAATTTCTCTCCTCCTTTCTCTCTCTTGCGCTAATCTTCATCCATCTTTTTCTCTCTTGCGCTAATCCCCCTCCAACTTTTTATGACTTGTTCTAATCTCTCTCTGTCTCCGTCTTTCTCTTACACTAATTATCTCTCCATCTCTCTCTCTCTCTCGCGCGCGCGTTAATCTCTTTCCATCTCTCTCTCGGTTGTGCCAATCTCTCTCCCCATCTCTCTCTTGTGCTAATCTCTCCGTCTCTCTCCCCCCTCCCTCTCTCTTGCACTAATCTTTCTCCATCTCACTAATCAGTCTGAAAAACTGAAAAATATATATAAAAAAAAAGAAAAGATGATTTTTTTAGACTCTTTCTGTTTCCGTGCTTACTGGTTGAGGCTGAATTTTGGGGGAATGGCCACTCTTTATTGTGACATACGAATCTGTCTGTATAAACATTCTTTTTTTAATCATCCTTAAGAATTACTTCCTGCCAACAAAATGATTATCCCTTGTTTTTTTTAACCCCTTTTTTCTCATCCTCCCTTCTTTACAAATATAATCCTATCTATCTATCTATCTATCTATCACTGAGACCTCTAGCGCTTTGAGATTAAGTGAACTTCCATTCCCTGACCACTAAACTTTATACCAATCTGAGATCAGAGGGGCAAGGTGAATCCAACCATTGTCATCTTAATTTAGTGCTTGAATGATTCTAAAGGAATTGAAGTCGTTTCTTGTTTGTTTGGACACCATGGGAATTGGCTGGAAAATGTTTGGGGTTTAAGCCAATATACTCACAATACTTAAGATGTCAAATATCCTGTTATATTCTCAAAATTGAACATTGCTTCGTCATGCAAGTGTCCCAAGACTACCTTTAACGAGAGTTCAGCGGCTGTTATGATTATTAGGGACTGGTTAAGGATAGGTACTTTTAACAACTTTTTTTAAATTTTTTTATTTAAGTAATAGAATTATTTCACGTGTTAAATATAATTCATTTCACCCATTGAGGGCTGGAGGTCAGGGGTTTCATAAGATGCTTCACCTTTACAGGAGTAGAATCACATGGAGTGCAACTACCATATCTATGTAGAAAAATCACGTGGTAGAGATAAACACTCAGTTGTGGAGCAAGCTAAGTGAATAATAATCCAACCTTTAGAAAGAGGGCTATTTATGTTGCCATGGAGCATCTCATTGTGCTAAAGTGGGATAGTGCATTGCTTGGGCTGTGATTGGCTGCTGGTACCTGAGTGGAGGTATTTCTATATAAATATCAGCTTGATTCATCAGTTAGTTTGCAGGGTTTGTATTAAGTTACAACCTGCTTTATTTTTGCCTGCCAGCTGGACGCTAGCTGAGATCTTTACGCCAGTAAGTGCTGTTTATTATTGTTATTCTACAATCTGGACTGGAGCTATCCAGTCCTCAATTAATAGACGATGGAATTCAAAATCGTTCATATGGGCTTGTAGAAGATGACGTACCCCACCTCTTACAGCCCCATTTCCTCTCAAACACAAAGGTGAAACACTATCGCTAATGGCAAATGTTCAGACAAACTACATCTTAGTGTTACAAATTCAAACCTTTAAAGCTGAACAGCCATGCTACGGTCACAGAGTCAAATCATCTTCATTCTCCCCGTATTCCACTTGTAACAAGGTCTCTGACAGCTTCTTTCTAAGATCTGCAAATTTGTAGAAGGAGAGTATCGTGTGGGACCTTCCCCAAACACTACAATATTAACCTCTTCAGGTCTAGGGTCAATCACTATCTATCCCACATATCCTCATAATACTCTTACTTTCTACGATTGCGTTCATATCACTTACATCATTGAGTAAAATTATACCTTGAGTGAAACTCTACATTGTATCGGGTGAACGTTTAAAAAAAAAAGACCTTTCCAGATCTGAGAAATAAGTTTCATGTTGCAGTTTTTGTCACATACATTCACTTTACGCTATCACCAGACATCTTGACAAAATGTCTTGTTACTGGCATGTCAAGATATTTAACGAAGAATGAAGAGAAAAATTCATGAAAGGGTATTTGAGCAAAAAATCTCTTATAACTACCTATTAGGTAAGGTCACGGAATTAATACTTCGAATTAATAATTTTAAAATGTATTGCAATAATTGTAATATTTTTTTAAGTTATAATCGTAAAAACAAGATTACGTAGGTCATAAGTTATTTTTATACGTAAAAAAAGTAAAGTTTTTAATTTAATATTTTTTCAAATAACCACATTAACTGAAATATTACGCCACACTCATGACCTGTTAAAACCAGTCAAATGTTTGTTTTGTTTTACGGCATATCAACCTCAATGGGTTATTTAATGCCGACAACATTTTTAGGATAGATTCGTATGAATAGAATATGTATTCTTTGGTTTAGATTTATTTGATTTATTTTGTTTTACGGCATATCAACCTCAATGGGTTATTTAATGCCGACAACATTTTTAGGATAGATTCGTATGAATAGAATATGTATTCTTTGGTTTAGATTTATTTGATTTCTTTTGTTTTACGGCATATCAACCTCAATGGGTTATTTAATGCCGACAACATTTTTAGGATAGATTCGTATGAATAGAATATGTATTCTTTGGTTTAGATTGGTTTGGTTTATTTTGCTTTACGGCATATCAACCTCAATGGGTTATTTAATGCCGACAAGATTTTTAGGATAGATTCGTATGAATAGAATATGTATTCTTTGGTTTAGATTTATTTGGTTTATTTTGTTTTACGGCATATCAACCTCAATGGGTTATTTAATGCCGACAACATTTTTAGGATAGATTCGTATGAATAGAATATGTATTCTTTGGTTTAGATTTATTTGGTTTATTTTGTTTTACGGCATATCAACCTCAATGGGTTATTTAATGTCGACAACATTTTTAGGATAGATTCGTATGAATAGAATATGTATTCTTTGGTTTAGATTGGTTTGGTTTATTTTATTTTGCCTCTCAAATTTAGAATAAACGTCGGTTTGGTTTATTTTGTTTTACGGCATATCAACCTCAGTGGGTTATTTAATGCCGACAAGATTTTTACTGCTGGTAATACTTTGAGGTAATTTGCTTTTTAAGCCCCGCGCTAAATATCTAATAACAATTTGCCAAATAGTTATGTTTAGGTGTAAATTTACAGGCTTAATTCGATAATAACAAAGAAATTTTAATAAAATATACCGTTTTGGTGTTTTTGCATACATTCGCTGCTGATTAGATTTGTGCGGAAGATTACCTTGTTATACCGCCTTTTTTTACTACTCTTATTTGTCTCTATTACTGCACAACTGAGGACTCATTGCGCGCGCAATCATAAAAACAAGTGAATGTTAAATCCGCAGCAAATACATGCAAACAACGACAGTAATGGCAGTCGCCACGCGACTGAGTCCGAACTTCTATTGTTGATATATACAACCTAAAATGACATTACACTGTAATGTCATTTTGCCAGGCTTCCGTGCTTATATGGCAGACGAAAGATTTGTGGAAGCTTATCGACTTTATCTAGTCCGTGTGTACTCTCTTGTGAATTATCTGACCTGCTGCTGATCCACATGCTTTGTCACAAAACTGGCATAACTTCTCTTCACACAAATGAGGAAGTACTATTTAGTTAAGAGGCCGGCCTGACTCATAAATCAGACCAAAGGTTCAAACATCAAATATTTTATGGGGAAGGACTTCTGGATCGAACTGAGAAACATTCACTATCCCTCATATATATATATATATATATATATATATATATATATATATATATATATAATTTTTTATTATTTCTTGAATGTCGAGGCCCGATAAACGTAATAAACAGAGTTTAGTTAATAAACATAAGCCTGCTCTTTTAAATACGAATTATCAATTTCAAATAAATTTTGGAGAACTAAAATGTCAGATTAAAAGTAAATGCTTTATGTTATATATATAATATTAGTGGTCAATATATATATATATATATATATATATATTATTATGGTCAATATATATATATATATATATATATATATATATTATTTAGTGGTCAATATATATATATATATATATATTAGTGGTCAATATATATATATATATTATTAGTGGTCAATATATATATATATATTATTAGTGGTCAATATATATATATATTATTATGGTCAATATATATATATATATATATATATACTAGTGGTGAATATATATATATATATATATATAAATATTATTAGTGGTCAATATATATATATATATATATATAAACTAGTGGTCAATATATATATATATTATTAGTGGTCAATATATATATATATATATATATATAAATATTATTAGTGGTCAATATATATATATATATATATATTTAGTGGTCAATATATGTGTATATATATATATATAGATAATATTAGTGGTCAATATATATATATATATATATAATTCTCAAGAGGATAGAATCCAGGTAGAACTCAATGTCCAGGACAGTGTAAGAATATAATATAAAAGGCCCAAACACTAATATTCTATGGTTATAATTTATTACATTGGAATCGTAGTCACAATCTAATTCATCAAACCTACAAATTCTGTTGTAAACAATAAGCTTTGGAACAATAGCTAATGCTTTTTTTTATATATTTATGCGTAATATTTATAATAAATGTATGTTTACAGATAATTATTAAAACTGTTTTACTAACAGGTGAGTTATCAGAAAAAAAAAAGTTCTTTCATTTTAACCTGTTTTTAACTTACGAAAAAGTTTGTATATGTTTATTAGATGACCCCGTGCTGAAGCTTAGGCACGGAATAAAGAAAAAAATCAAGGGGCGTAACTGATTTGATCTGTCGCTTATTGTAAAGAAAATATGATATAATCTATTTTGTAGAACGTACCTCTGGTTTATGTAATGAGTTTTGGTTTAAATTTGCTGAATATATATATATATATATATATATATATATACTTATATATATATATACTACCTAGCTTTTCACATGGGATCATC